CCAAGGCTTGAACCCGTGTCCTCTGCATTGGCAGGCGGATTCTTAACCACTGAGCCACCAGGGAAGTCCCGTATCACACCGTTTTGATTACTTTAGCTTTGGAGTAAGTTTTTAAATTGGAAAGTGTGAGTTATTCTATTTTATTCTTTTTCAAAATTGTTTTGGCTGTCCTGGGTCCCTTGCAATTCCATATGAATTTCAGGGTCAGCTTTTCCATTTATGCAAGAGACCATTGGGATTTTGAAAGGGTTTGCATTCAATCTGCAGAACATTTTGGGAAATATTGCCCTCTTAGCAATATTAGTCTTCCAATCAATGAACACGGAATGTACTTCCATTTATTTAGGTCTTCTTTAATTTCTTTCAAAAGTGTTGTGTAGTTTTCAATATGTATGTCTTTTACTTCCTTGGTTAAATTTATTCCCAACCATTTTATTATTTTAGATGGTATTGTCTTAATTTCATTTTTGGATTGTTTGCTGTTTGTGTATATAGATATAACTGATTTTTTTGTGTGTTCATTTTGTATCCTGCAACTTTGCTGAATTTATTTATTTGCACTGTGGATCCTTTTTGATGTTCAACATACACGATCATGCCATCTGCAAACAGAGGTAATTTTACTTCTGTTTTTCCAACATGGATGCCTTTTATTTCTTTTTGTTGTCCAGTTACTCTGCCTAGAACTTCCAATAGAGTGTTGAATAGAAATGATGAAAATGGCATTCTTGTCTTGTTCCTGATCTTAGGGAAAAGCTTTGTCTTTTACCATTGAGGATAATGTTAACTGTGAGTTTTTCTTTTTTTAATAAATTTATTTATATTTTATTTTTGGCTGCATTGGGTCTTTGTTGCCGTGCCCAGGCTTTCTCTAGTTATGGCAAGCGGGGGCTCCTCTTCGTTGTGGTACACGGGCTTCAGTAGTTGTGGCACGCGGGCTCAGTAGTTGTGGTCCGTGGGCGCTAGAGCGCAGGCTCAGTAGTTGTGGCACACGGGCTCAGTTGCTCCACAGCATGTGGGTTTTTCCCAGACCGAGGCTTGAACCCGTGTCCCCTGCACTGGCAGGCAGATTCTTAACCACTGTGCCACCAGGGAAGTCCTGTGAGTTTTTTCACAAATGTCCTTTATAAGGTTGAGGAAGTTCCCTTCTAGTCCAATTTTGTTGAGTGTTTTATCATGAAAGGGTGCTGGATTTTGTCAAATGCCTTTTCTGTGAGAATCGAGATGATCATGTGGGGATTTTTCTTCATTCTATTAATGTGGTTGATTGATTTTCATACGTTAAACCAACCTTGCATTCCTGGAATAAATCTCACTTGATTCTTTTAATATTCTGCTGGGTTCAGATTGCTAGCATTTTGTTGAGGATTTTTGTCCCCAAGTTCAACTTTAAGAGGTGGCTGAGCATCTTGTTTAGGGAACAGAAGTCAGACATACCTCATTAGAATCCCAACTCTGCCACTCACTTGTTATAATGGGCATGTTGACTGAACCTTAATTTCTTCATCTGTCAAATGGGTTCATAAGATTGTCCACCTCCTGGCACTGTTGTGAGGATTCCATAAAAGGATGCAAATCAGGGCTCAGCCCGGGGCTACACAAGATTTCCGCTGACACATATGTGAGTTTCCCTGTGCCTGGCTTTGTGCTGCATGCCTTGCATATATTTGTTCACCTAATTCCTGCAACAACCCTGTGAAGTGGGTGCTGTTAGAGCCCCCATTTTACAAATGAGGAGACATGGGTACTGGGAAGTGATTTTCTTGAGATCACATAGCTGGGAAGTGGGAAGCCAACATCAATCCCAGGCTCTCTGGCCTTGGCGTCTCTCAAGTAGGCACTCAAGAAACAGGGGTTGTTGTTTTTACCCCCAATACTTTACTACAAAATATTTTCAAGCATGCAGCAAAGTCGAAAGACTTGTACAGTCACCAGTCACCTGGACACCCCCCACCCAGATCCTGCCATTAACATTTGTCTGGGCTTACTATATCACTTATCTCTCCATCTTATTTTTGGATGCATTTCAAAGTCGCAGACATCAGAATACTTCCCCCAGACACTTCAGCATGCATACTATTAAGTAGAATTCATACTTGTCTCCAGCTCTTTTTCTTTTGAAGCGAAATACATGCTGACCACAACCCTTAAGTGTACATTTGCTGGGTTTTGACAACTGTATACACGTGTATAACCCAACCCCCCCCATCAAGATGTAGAACATTGCCACCACCCCAGACTGTCCCCTCATACTCCTTCTCAGTCAGTCCCTATGCCCACCCCTAAGAAACAACCACCGTTCTGAAGTTTTTCACCAGAGATTAGTTTTGCCCATTCTGTAACTTCATATAAGTGGAGCCATCCAGGGATTTCCCTGGCACTCCAGTGGTTAAGACTTCACCTTCCAATGCCGGGGAGTGTGGGTTTGATCCCTGGTTGGGGAGTTGGGATCCCGCATGCCTTGCGGCCAAAAAACCAAAACATAAAACAGAGGCAATATTGTAGCAAATTCAATAAAGACTTTAAAAAAAATGGTCCATATCAAAAAAAATCTTAAAAAAAAAATGGAGCCATACAGTATTACACTCTTGTCTCTGTCTTTTGTCCCTCATTTTGCAGATGTGCACTGAGGCCCAGAGAGGTGAAGGGACTCAGCCGGAGTCACCCAGCATCCAGCTGCTGGACCCCGGGGCTCCCGGCGTCCGGTCTGCACTGCACAACGTCGCTAATCCTGCCCCAACCTCTTCCCACAGGGCGAGAGGCTGAGCCACGCAGTGGGGTGTGCGTTTGCGGCCTGCCTAGAGCGGAAACAGCGGCGGGAGAAGGAGTGCGGAGTCACGGCTGCCTTTGACGCCAGCCGCACCAGCTTCGCCCGGGAGGGCTCCTTCCGCCTGTCTGGGGGTGGGCGGCCGGCTGAGAGAGAGGCTGCTGACAAAAAGAAAGGTGGGCGCTGCCCGGAGGGCGGGGCGGGGCTGGGCACCGAATGGTCCCAGGGTGGGGCCAAGGGATCCAGATTGGGGGGAGAGCTGCAGAGGTAGGTACAGGGGCTCTACAGTTTACAAAGCAAAAAGGAAACACACACACACAAAACCCAAATCAACAAAATTTTTAAAAATTACTTTATTTTATCTTTGGCTGTGTTGGGTCTTCATTGCTGTGCACCTAATTGTGGAAAGCAGGGGCTACTCTTCGCTGTGGTGCGCGGGCTTCTCATTGCAGCGGCTTCTCTTGTTGCGGAGCACAGGCTCTAGGTGCATGGGCTTCAGTAGTTGTGGCTTGTGGGCTCTAGAGCGCAGGCTCAGTAGTTGTGGTGCATGGGCTCAGTAGTTGTGGCACACGGGCTCAGTAGTTGTGGCTTGTGGGCTCTAGAGCGCAGGCTCAGTAGTTGTGGCGCATGG